TAATTGCACGACATTATGCACTGCCCGAAATAATTAATTAATTCCTAAGCCGTGATTCAATTTTAGAGTTTTAATAAATAAATTTCTTTTATATATTTTTTTTGAAAAAAGCATCTAGATTTAAAGAGAAAATTTCTTTTTTACCAATTAACAAATTGCTTAAAAGGGTTTAGTAATTTTTTTTGTACCTTATTTGAATTAAGAAAACATTATGAGTTGCTATGTTTTGGTTGTGTGATTTATTTATAAAAATGTTCAATGATTAAATCATCTTATTTTAATATTAAAAAATTATTTAGTGTTAGTTACAAGATTTTTAAAAAATATAATATATATTTGTTGAATAATTTTGAAAGGGGTTCCCTTTTTTGTCGCAGTGCACGCCGCTGGGCAACACCGAAATTGAGTGGCCGGTTTGCCGGTTGCAAGTTGCTAGTTGCCAGTTGCTAGTTGGCAACTCATTCCCAGCGACGTTTCCCGTGCAATTTGCCAACTGCACTCGAGGGATGCATTCTGCTGACCGAACGACCCAGCCAACTGATGTTTCGCCCTCGTTTGGCCCAAAGGGCTGGAAATGCGGATGGGGCAGCAAGGGGGCCGTGAAGTGGATGCCTAAAATTCAACTGGATACCGGGGCGAAGTTGCACTCGCTTTCATCGACTTGGAAATATGCTTGGCCATAAATCAAGCAATGTCCTCGCCATATTGCCGTTTCCCCAATCCATTTCGATTTGGATTTCCACTTCCACTTTCATTGCCAGTTCCAGTTCATTTCGAGGCCATTAGTTTCCATTCGGTCCACAAATAACTCACATGGAATCGGCTCGGAATTGATAATTGATTTGGCCATTATGATGTGCCACCGTGGCAGAGTGCCACATCATCAAATGGCCCAAAGTCCGCCCACTTGCCACCCACTCCCAGAGTTCATCAGATGTCCACTTTCAGTGAATTAAACCAAATCGCAGGAAGATGGGGCTAACACGTGGCCGAAAATGACAGAAAAATTGGGCATCCACTGAAGCGAATTGTTTTTCATCTTTTTGAGCGATTCAGTAATATTTCATTTAAAGGAGACATTTTCTAAAAATCATTTTATACAAACCCTTAACTTGATTTTGGCAAACACTATGTCTATCAGACAATATTATAATAAAATAATGTTTATTACTCAAATTTTAGATAGACATTTAGATAGATGTCAAAAGGTGTATAATATAATGTTTTCGGTTGGTAAGAATATCCCTAAAAATAAAAGAAGCTTAAAATATGTGATACTCTCTTGAAAAAATGTTCTTAGTTTTTAAAAACATCTTGGCTTTACTTTTCGCCCCAACAAGTCCTGCGGCGAATTCGGAAAAGCTTTGAAACGAGGTTGGGTGCCCCCACATTTTGGATTTAAGTTAAGGGAGATCCCGGCGATGTCAGAAGTTGGCAGCATTTACTTCATTGTGCTTAACACTTTCCGCTTTGCCAGACGCCTCGTGGCCCGCCCCCTTAACCCACTGAGCGCCCTAAACGCCGACCAACCCCCCCTCTTCACCCCTGCGAAACCCCACATAACCCCTCCAACTCGTCGAGTTTAGGACTTCCTGCGGGTGTTGCAAAGTTGTGCGGCATGGCTGATGTATGCTCATATAACTTTGCCACTAACGATGAGCTCATGAGCTGCATAGTAATGAGCCCAAGTCGGGAGGCCCCACTATTTCGGGCCCTAGATGGTAATCCTCTGGGCTGGAGGTATACTCAACCTAACCGTCTAGCCCCCAAACTGCATTCATTCCGCATTTATCGACTCAAAATGTCGGCCATCAATCGTCGGGTTATTGCCATGAATGCCGCACGATTAATCTGCCAACCGATTTCCCGTTTCGACGAAACAACAATGCCCAGCTAATGCGGGCCAATTATTCATATTTCCCCGCCCGAAAAACACCTGCGGGCGGTGCTGGGTTAAGGGCCAAGGAGCTGCCAAACTTATGAACTTGTCCTCCCAAATGATTCGCTTTGATTAACATTTGCATACACATGTCTGGCTGTTCCTGTTCCTGTTCCTGTTTATGCCTCTGACCTGCATACAAAGTGGCTTTGTGTCCTGCACAGAGGAAAAGTTTGTGCAAGTTATGTAGGGCGTCAGAAAATATGTAATAATTTTTAATGCTCAAAATGCGAAGAAAAATAAAAATAAGAACCTATATGCAAAACCAATTAATTGTATATGTATTATTTGATTTACCTGTGGCTTTAAAATGGCTTTGTAGTTAAGTGCCAAAAAACTGCACTTTTAAGCCCATAACTTTTCCTACAGACATCCGATTTTAAAGTGGCATATCTCTAAATGATTGTGGTTTAATTATCTAAACAACTGCGTTCTCAGTTAATTTTTTAATTTTTGGTCGATTTTTCGTCATTTCTATAAGGGGTTACCTCTTCCAAATTCTCGAAAAATGGCTTAGCAGAAAAGTGACCAAAAACCTGCACTTCTAAGCCCATAACTTTTCCTACAGACATCCGATTTCAATGTGGCATATCTCTAAATGATTGTGGTTTTATTCTCTTGTAAAATTTTATCTTGGTTTGTATTTTTGGGATCGGCCTACCATATCAAAAAGCTTCGATAGAAAGATCGGGAAAAAAAAAGAGAAAATATAACTTATTTTTTCTTAAAAAGCAATTTTCTTTCTCTTACTTCCTTTTCTCCGCAACTTTCAAGTGCTTAATTGCAGTTTGTGAGTGCTAAATACTTGATTTATTTTTTCTGCGTACGAATGGCCGATCTGCAGGCTATTTAGCTGCGAACTGTAAAGGGTGGAGGGTCGAGGGATGTGCTTCTGGCCATCGTCTTTTCAATTAGCCCGATGCAAGCCCAGACCCAAACGCCAAGCCCAAACCCCTTGAAAACCGCCACCCTTGAATTCCTCCACTAAAACTCAGGCCATTGCGTTACAAGTGCAAATTAGTCGAGAGTGCCAACAAATTTAACGAGCAAATTTACACTCAGCGAGCAGCAACAGAAGGGCAGTTTCTGGAGGGGATTTGGCAGGGGGTTCCGGGTGTTCCGGGTATTCCGGGGCTTTTCCTGGGGTTCCTGGGGCCATGACCCGAGTGCATGTCCCTGGCCCGATCTCACAAATGCCCCGGACTTCCATCCAACGGCAGTTGCAAATTTGCCTCCCATTTTTCGGGGCTTTCCCCTTCTTCTGTCTGTATTTTAATTTAAGCAACATAGCGCCGCAATTGCCCCAAAAAAAAAAAAAAAAAACAGAGAAAAAGAACCGAAAAAAAGAGGGAAAAAGTGAAAAGCCTTGTGGCAGGACGAACCTTTTCCCCGATTTTTGCTCCGCTTTTCCGTTTGTCTTATTACGCCTGGGCGTTGGCCACTTTTTCCTTGCCGCCGTAAGTATTTCCTTTGATTCGGTGGGCCGTGTGTGTTTGTCGTTGGAAATTGATTCAAAAATTGGATACAGCAGGGGGAGTGGGGCAATCCGACCTGACCTGACCTGACAGAATCCGGCTCCCAAAATTCAAAACCCAAAACCAGCTGCAGTCCCCGGGCCAGCTGTGAACCCATGTCAACTTTAATTGAATTTGATAGAACGGATATTTAGCCAAGGCTGCGCACCATTTACACCATTAGTAGGGACCTCCTGCTGGCATAAGGATCTCCCTCCCCAATACCCAATACCCAATCCCTGGTCTCCATCCCAATCCCCTTCCCCAATCCCATCCGAATCCACCACTCATATTCGTAATTAAACTTGGAGTGGGCGTATGTTTTGTATTCCGTCATGTCCGCCCGTCTGCATATTCCCATAAATTCCCAAAACTCCGAGACTTGCTTCCTAAAATTCAGTTTATTTTCTTAGACGTAAGCGTTTGTATTTGAGAATAATGTGGGTCACAGGTGAAATTGAAGATGTTGACATTTAATATAGATTTAAATGTAAGCCGCATAAAGAAAGTCCAGAAAAAAATTCTTTATACTTTTAATTTCCTTTAATAGTTTAATAAGGTGAATTAATTAAGTGTAAATATTCATTAATACATCTAAGCGAAAAATAGAGACAAGTTACTTTCTTGAAAATTGTTAATTATGGTATTCCAAGATACCATGTTCATATTTATTTTATGCCTTTAAGTTCTGCAAAAATATGTGGGTTGCTTGCGATAATTCCAAAGTTTCCAGGCTGCATATATACAGAATTTCGTCCTTAGAAATATCATAAAATACTTGAAATATTTAGAAATCGTATTTAATTTAAGGAATTGTGTATAGTTGTGTATAAGAGTACATTAAATAGTTCTAATGTCCTTAAATTCCCAGGAAATATAACCTTCTTGGCAATTATTTAAGAAGCCAGTTCTTACAGCTCAAAAGATAATTTCCAGTTGTATGACTTATTTGTATTGGCTGCACTTGTATAATTAATTTGATGACTCCAGTTCCAGTTCCAGCAATCACTCAAATTCTCAGCCATGACTCGTCTTTTCTGGATTTCCCAGCTGAAGATGACAAGTCAAGTTAAGTGGGATGCCAGAAATCGCAGAGTAATGATTAAAATATTACCTTGGCTAGTTGGTTGCACAGAGCTGGTAATTTTGGTAAATCTATTTCGATTTATGTCATAGCTGAAAGCGAAACGAGAGAATAGTTGTCATTAACTTGGACAGTTGTTGGCCAGACCGGTTTGCCAAAATATCCACACACATTACCAACGATAGCTCTTTTTTTCTGAATGAATGTCATATTAACTGGCACATGTATGTGCTGTTATTATTCTTTTTTGGTTTATTTTGGTTGCCAAGTGTGGCCGATTGCTTGATTTGCCCCACAAAAGTTACAATCCGGCCTTGGGCGCTACTTTGTTTGGGTTGGGTTTTCGGTCTAAGGTTTTGTGGGGATTTGAGTAATGAGTGGTAAGTACGGCGTTACTTGGTGAACCTTTTTGGGTATAAATGCGATACGTTGGAGGTATTTCTTATCAAACAGCATCAAGCGTTCGACTCACTTACAACTCGACTTCCAGACCTCAAATCAAGCTCCTAAAATGGCATTCAAGGTGGGTTATCCAGGATCAAAAGGCATCTCCTTGATGGGAAAAGCAATAAAATATAAAATATAATATACCAACAAGTACAATAATTAAAAGGTTTATATACATTTTCAATTTTAAAAGAACATTACTAACTATAAAAGTTAAATTTGAAGTGATCACTTGGATCTAAACAAAATGAAGTTTTATTCTTATCATATCATTTTGAATTTAAAATATATACTTCACAATTTTACTTTTTGGTCCATAAATATTTAATTCGTTTGTTTTAAAATAATATTATGAACGAAAAATAATAAGAGTGGCATTAGAGATATTTGGTTAAATTTGATTTTAAGTTTGAAAAGCATTATAGGATAAGCGAACATATTTATTTAACATTGATTGAATACTCTGAAAAGGGTTTTCCAGCTCTCTATTGACCTTTTCTTTTAAATCAACTTACATTTGAATGGATGGTCATTTATTTGTATCCAAAACCCTTGCAGTTTGTGGCCCTTTTCGCCCTGATCGCCGCTGCCAGTGCCGGAGTGGTCCTGCCCGCCGCCCAGGTGTACCATGCTGCCCCCGTTGCCACCTATGCGGCACCTGCCCCCTCGGCCGTCCTGAAGACCGTGGCCCATCCGGTGCTGGCCAAGGCCGACGAGGAGTACGATCCGCATCCGCAGTACAGGTACGCCTACGACGTGCAGGACGCGCTGTCCGGCGACTCCAAAAGTCAGGTGGAGGAGCGCGACGGGGACGTGGTCCGCGGGGAGTACTCCCTGATCGATTCCGATGGATTCAAGCGCACCGTTCAGTACACCGCCGATCCCATCAACGGATTCAATGCCGTGGTGAACCGGGAGCCGCTGGTCAAGGCCGTTGTGAAGGCCGTGGCTCCAGTGGCCTCCTATGCTCCTGTTCCCGCCGTCGCCTACCACCACTGAAGTTGGCCTGTCTTGAACCCATTTGTTGACCTAGTTGTATGTAGGTGATAAATCGAAAATATATGTTTTTTATTTTTAATTTCAAAAACATCTTAATCTGTGTGGTGTCCTGGACATTACAAAAAGGAGCTAGAAAAGTTATATCATTTGCACCGCAAGTTTCGCTTACTCAAAAGTGAGTCATGGGATATGTATCGAATGCAACGTCAATTTCAATTTTTACCACACAACTAAGAGATATGAACATTAGCTCATTTCCGTTTGCATTCCATATTACATTATATTCTTATAATTGGACAAACATACATATTATATGAACGTTAGCAGCGGACTATCAGCAATATTTTAGGCTTCGTTGCTTCTTAAATTTATTGCTCACTTTCAGTACATTTTTAAAATCTCATTCGAGTGGTTGGAATTACTTAAAATGCTTTTGTTCGGTTTATTATTCGTCCTGCACTTTCATGGACTATTCTCGGACACTCTCGGTGTCAATGTGAATCCTTTTTAGGACAGCTATCACTTACCTTTGTAAAAATGATGATAATGCCTAAATTATAAAGAAAAACTTATTAAACAAAGCTTTAAGAAAATGAATGTATATATTTTTACCTGACAAATTGAAAGAGAAGGGGATTAGGCATTTATACACGTCTTCTGATAACAGCCCTAATTTTAAATTATTAAACCACAATAAAAAGTGAAAACATTATCCTTACATTTGTTCTATTGTCTTAAATGAATTGGGTGTTACCTGTACCCCGTGATTTGGTTTTCAGGGGATTTTTTATGTATGATTATTTATTTGCCCCTTTCGTGAACATAAATATATAGAAGTGGCGATTGTAGGATAACTTTTGCGTTTAAAGGTGCTCCCAATCCGAGTAAAACAAAGGCACTTCCAATATAAACGGAGCATAGTCCCCTCTGGATTCCGCTTTCCTTTTTATTCCGATGCCGTTTGCCTTTGTTATTAAATTGCCAGCCACATTGCGCACACTGGGGAGTATTTATTAAGTCATAACCTCCCATGTGTGGGATAAGGGGAGGAGTGAGGCGGTAGGTAGGCGGTGGGAGGTGGCTTGCTTGGTGAGTGGGTGTAATTGTGCTAACAACACACGCGCACAGATGCAAACGACGTGCAGTTCGCACTTAAATTTCACTAACACCCACACCTCAAGGACAGGTAGACTTTCCCCGGCGAACGGAAAGTGCAGAGAAAGCAAAAGAAAAGTTGGCCAGAAAGGTTATATCAAAAGCCTATGAATTTTATAGATCAGTCTAATCAAATTCGAATACAATATTCATTGCTTGAATCTCTGTGTATAAACAAATGAATGAACAAATCTTAAATCTTGGATATAACAAAGTGTTTTATTGAATTTTTTAAAGTTTACCGAAATATAATAAAATAAACGACTACAAATTGAAGAGAATTACTAAATTGTTTTGTTATATTTTAAAAAGATATTATTATATGATATTTATGAGCCAAATTGCAGTGTATTTTTGCAGCTCAGGATTGGTGAATGCTTCCGTGGGCAACTGCCTGCAATTGTACTGTGAAAAGTTTGCGAATCTTAACGATTTGCTTACTGTTCTTTTCCGTTATGCATTTACCGAGTACATATTTGAGTTCCATACTCGAAGACTGCCTGCTGGGTAAACAAGTTGCTAAGTTGCTTGGGCAAGGACACAAAATACAAGCCCAATGGGGTACGGTGAACATTAATGGGCTAACTGCATTTCGATTGTTCTCCAACAGCAGGCAATTTGAATCGAACATGAGGAAAATAATTGTACTATTTTTGGCATAAATACGGGAAAAGTAAAATAATTACTACCACTATTTTATTTTTTCCCTACCATTCATGCCTGATAAACTTAGAAAAACTTTGCATTAAAGTCAATTTTATATAATTATCAATTATCATTCTTTTAAAACCAGATATTGTTTTTATTTTCCTTCAAACAGTCTATATATGGTACCTAGTCAATTAATAAGTTAGTTGACCTCCTGCTTCAAAGCTAATAATGTTTAATGTTTTTTTAATTTTTAATTAAACAAAACTTTGAAACTATAAGTATTATTTGTTATATGTGTATTTCTTCACATGTAGTTCTGAAACCAAATGGTGGGTAAATTCCAGTCGACTGAAGTGCAAGATCCAGCAATTGCCATTTTCTTTTCGACTTTCATGTTGCACATGGCATCGGCAGCAGATGTTGCTGCTGTGCTGTTGCTGTTGCTGCTGCTACTGTTGCTGCTGCTGCTGTTGCTGCCGTGGGTGTTCCTCCTATTGGTGTTGCTGCGGCAACTTGCCGTGGCCGAAATGAAATTCCCGTTTAATTGCTGCAACAGACTGTTCTTGCCGCACATGTTGCACATTCCACGGGCAAAGGATAACGGGGCAGAATCAGCACAGCTATAACTAATTGAATTATGCGGTTGCAGCTACAGGCTTCATCCCGCTTCATCTTCAGTTCTTGGTTTCACTCCAGGATTTAACTCCCCTGGAGTTTTGTGCCCAACTTTACTCCAATCCGGTGGCAAGTATTTGACCCAAAAGTGCACCATAAGCAAACTAAATTTGAAGCTACTAATCATAATACTTCTAAGTGCCTTGTGTAATTTTAAAATAAATTAATGTATTTATAAAAAGTCTTAAAAAAGCAACAATGCGGTTTTTTTCTACTTTTAAAAGGTCAGGACACAAAAACATAATAATATTTCTCTTAAAATCAAAAGGAGGAACCAAATTGATCAAATAAATACACTTTTTAGTACTGAAATTTAATTTCTATAGGATGTGATAAAATGTTAAGTATTGTATAAATTAAGTATCATCATTCTGTAACCGTAAGATACTATATTTTCAGTTGCAAAAGAACTACAGCGGAACCTTCGAAATATTATATATTTGAATTTCTACCTTAGCTTTTCATAGTTCAGCTATTCACAGTTTTCAGTTTTAGTTTTTTCGGTGCATGTAGATTTCACCTCCGGCTGATGTGTCCATTATCCTGGTCGCGCTTTGACGCCCAACTACTGCATAAATGTGCATACTAAATTCAGCACCCAGTCGAACGACAATGGCTCAAAAGGACTCTCGTCCTTTGGCAGTGGACGATGGACAACGGACATCGGATGGCGGATGTCGGATGGCGGATGCCGGATGGATATGGATGGATGTGTGCTAATAGCGAGTGCACTGGTCCACGAGGATGCAGTGGTCACCCGACTGGGAATAGCTTTTCCTCGACGGCCGGAAAATGGGAAATGGACGGCAACATCAAAGGACTCATCATAGCGGCATTTTGCGGAAAAGCGGGCTATATATGTATGCGTGTGCTCTCTGACAACTTTAAGTCTTCAGCATGGAGTATTGGTGAGCAAAAATGACCAGAAATAAACCTCACTCTGACTTCGAAAAGCAAATTTGAAGGAAATATTTCAAGTGGAAAAAGCTGATTCGAAATTATTTAGTCACTTGTTTCCATGTTGCTCATATTGGTCAATCAATCGATTGCAGATCACAAGAATTGTTTGGCAATAAATGAAATCCCCTTGTGCGACTGTAATAAACAATTTTTAATATTGTGCTGAAAATTTAAATATGAAATATCCCTTAATTTTGTATTTCGCATTCAAAAATCGTTCAGAAATTAAACAGAACTGGCTGTTTTGTAGACAGTCGAGGTGAATCACATTCCCCTGTGGGAAATGCCCTTGGTGATTATCAATCAATAGCCAGACTAGATGTAGTGCGCCGGAGATAATCTTAATTATTTATCGTCCTTATTTACGACGAACACCATGCACACCCAAAAAGCCAGATACAAGCCCGAATAAACATCGAGGCGACAAGCCCGAAATGACTTTATAATCTTATTAAATTTTAATCTCCCAATCAGCTAAGGACGACCCCTTTGTCAGGAGCAGGAGTCAAGTCCCCGTAATTATTTTGGGGAAAGTTACAACCACAAAAAAGGGAGCCCAAAAAAAAAGGGATTCCGATGGCGGGTAAAAACAACCTGTTCGATTTTGTGTTTCTTGTTTTTTTTTTTTTTTTGGGGTAAAAGGGGCGTCAAACTTTTCCAATTGCTGTTAACAAAAAAGAAATCAAAATTGATTGCCAACTTTTGATTAGTTTCCCATTCTGAGGCCTGCAATTCGGATGTCGATTGTCGCTGAATTTTGCTGGCCAGGTGGAGCCGCCTAATTGAAAAGCCAACTGCTGTCCAAATGCCAAAACTAAAAATCCCAGCCCAAAATATTCCGAAAAGCAACGTTAAGCGTCAAAAAAGAAAATTGTTCCAGCTGCATTTGCATTTGTTGCAAAAGTTTTCTGGCCCCAAATTGCTGAGGAAAAGTTTTTCGAGGCTGGAAAATGCAGCGAGAGAAAGCTGGGCCTCTTTTGTTTAAGCTCGGAAATTATTCTGCTTAACACTAGTAAAGGCCCTATTTTCTTTATTATTTTCAAGGAAACAGAATATTATTTTTTTGGTGTTAAAAAATTGATTGTATTTCTTACATTTCTTTAAAGATAATGAATTTTTTTAACCGAGCTGGCACTTGAAACTTGAGTTTGCTGAAATCTGACTGCATTATTATTTTTGGATCTTAATGGAAATAATTCCTTGCAAATAATAATTGAAATACTTTAAACATACCTTTTTTTTAAATGTTTATTTATATTTTCGTGTGTGACAAACGGTCTGTGGAACTTCTTTTGGTCCGCCCACGCAATTGAGTTGGCAAAGTTGGTTGCATGATTCGCAGGATTTGTTGCAAGTGAAATCACAGCTTGAAGTGAACGGCGCACACAGTGCAACACTCGCTGCAGTTTGCTGGCCAAATGTTGATTAAAATATAATTGGATTCTAATTAATGCTAATTGATTTGTGCGACATGTGCCGGTGTCAGGATATCTGACCAAGTTACAAGGACCCATTCCGGGGCTTAAGTGTCCATGTCCTTGCATTATAGAGCGCCCACACAGATGCAGGACCACACACATCTGCACACACACACACACACACCTCGGTGCATAAGGATACATATTTGTACATCCTGTCAGATGGACAAACTTTCGACCGCACACACGCATGCAAATTCGTGGGCTGGGCAACCAATTAGGCTCTGTCAAATTGCTTGGCATTTGAAATGCAGTCGGAAAACGGGTGGAAACTGCCGTTGCACCGATGCTTTTCCACCGGCCTTTCACTTTTTATGATGGCCTTCCACCTCGCTGCACATTTTCAATTTCTTTTCGTTTAAACCCACGCTCAATTGGCCGAAAGAATTCCGTTTTAAAATTATTCTCTGCATTTTCAAGTATTCAATTTTTATTAATTTTTATTTATGAAGACAATAAAACTCATATTTATAAATAAAAAATATGCAATTATTGAAATGCTTTAAGTCCATTGCGTTGTATGAAGTCAAAATAAAGCAACATTTTGGGAAATATAAAGAGATTGACTAAATTAGCCTTTCAAAATTATTGTAAATGCATATAAGCATTAACAATTCTCATCTGTAATAAATAATACACAACTTAATCTTTAATGGCAAAAATAGCTTTTCAATAAATACAGATCTGTAAGATAAAGTCACTGTTTTTCCCAATCAAAATATGAATGCAGCTTAAACATAATGCACACTTAAAAGTACTTTCTGATTTGTTTAAATTTTCGTAGATTTTCCTGTCTAGTCAACAACATTTTCTCTCATTTCATTCGGTGTGACATTTTTCCAGTGACAAAACTTAGCGATTTTCAGTATTACATTTACATATATTTAAGCCATGCTTTTCCCATTTTCGGCTCCAAAAGCGTCCCAAGGCAAGTCGGCGGATATTCATGGAATACGCTGCGGATTTAATTTCGTCAATTGCAGGCGGTAAGTTTTGCCTATCTATAATATTTATGTATAGTCCCAAAACTGAACACTTTCATTTCAGAAATGCCGAACTATTGGCCCTTGGATATGAGCCACCGAAAGCGATTCGCACAGGCACCTCCATCGTGGGCATAATCTATCAGGATGGCGTTATCCTGGGTGCCGACACACGAGCCACCGAAGGACCCATTGTCTCGGACAAGAACTGCTCGAAAATCCATCACCTTCAGGGTCACATATAGTGAGTTATTTTAAACAAATGCAAATAGTTATAATTTTTAAACAAATAGAAGAGCTTTGCATCTGCATAAAGTTACCCATTGTAATGCCACTTATTTAGCTTAGTTCTCTATTACTCTTTACTTTATTAGCATTACAACTTTGGTATTTAGTTCATAATAGATAGTTTGTTCGATTTCCTTACTATAGCTTACTTTCATAACTAAACCAATTTCTAAAAGTTTATGGTTTTATCTTCTATTGATCTGCATTACAGTTTTTGTTTCTGCTGAAAAAGTTTTTAGTGATGTAATTTCCTTTAAAACTTAAAAAAAAATGTAATCAAAATATAAAATCTACTATTGGTTTAAATATATCTACTGATCGGACTGTTTGTAGAAAATGTATGAATTGAATATGACCAGCCACAGAATTCTAAATACATCCCTTTATCCCGCCCCAGTTGCTGTGGAGCTGGCACCGCTGCCGACACGGAGATGATGACCCTGATGACCTCCGCGGAGCTGGACCTGCACCAGTTGAACACGGGGAGGCAGGTGCCGGTGGTCTGTGCCAGCATGCTGCTCCGCAGGACCTTGTTCCGCTACCAGGGCCACATTGGGGCCGCCCTGGTGATGGGCGGCGTGGACAGGACGGGTCCCCAGATCTACTGCATCTATCCGTGCGGATCCAACGACAAGATTCCGTACGCGGCCATGGGCTCCGGCACCCTGGCCGCGATGTCTGTTTTGGAGCACAGCTGGAGGCCCGATTTGAATCGGGAGCAGGGCAAGCAGCTGGTGAGGGAAGCCATCTCGGCGGGGGTGTTCAACGACTTGGGCTCCGGATCGAATATCGATCTCTGTGTGATCACCAAGAAGGGGGCGGAGTACTTGAGGACGGACACGATTGCCAGCGAGAAGGGTGAGAGGCTGGGCAAATATGGCATAAAGCCCAACTCCACGCTGGTGACCTCGACGTCCGTGCTGAGTCTCCTGGTGACCGATGAGCGCACCTACGGCGTGGGTCTGTTTCCCTCACAATCCACGGTGGACGATCAACAGCTGGAGACTGGTGGCGGGCAGGATTCCAAGGGGGTGGAGAAGGAGAAGGAGGAGGAGGAGAGCCTGTCCGGAGGATCCCAGAAAAAATCTCCATAGACCTTTCACATTCATTTGAATTCTAGTAAATTAACCGTTAACAAGCCACTTGACTCCACATAAATGTAAATGCATTTGCAAAGCGCAGGGATTCCTCTTGAATTCTTTCATCATGTTGTTGGTCCTGCGGGAATGATGCCAGGAGCATCAAACATTTTCCCAAAGGGGAACAGAATGTGCGGGGAGGAGGCACTGGGAATGCCTACTAGCACACCGGAAAAAGTATTACGATTTAATGCTTTAACTTTTATCTTAATATATAGTGAAAATACTTGTTACTTTATTTGTGAAGGCCATCGATAATTAAAATAAGGCCTTGAGACTTTTGAATCTAATCGAAACACCTTTACAGGGAACTAAATTTATTTTATACGTATATTTTTCTAATCGAAATCTATTTTTGGTGAAATATAATGGCTATACCAGCCTCATTTCTAAGTGTACCTGGACTGGAAATGGATTTGGTGCTGCCGCAAGGACCAGCATTCTGCTCGAAAATTGTTTAAATCCCTGGCAATTCCTAATAGTTGAACAGGGTAGATATCTGGGGAGTCCTGCTGGCGGAGAATGCAGTGAAAGGATGCTGGAGGGCAGGTGCTCGATGCTGCCCGTAATCGGGATCCAACTTCACTGGCATCCCATCAGGCGATGAACTGCGAGGACGTGTAAATAAGGCCAGGAATTCGAGGTGGCTACATCAGATATACTGAAACTGGGACTCGGGAACTGGAACTCGGTCGGGGACCGGCATCATTATAAGATTAAATCGCAGGTCCACTCCACACATCCTTCGAAAGCGCAGAAGGTGACTTTGATTTTGTTTTGTCGTCTGTTTGCCTCGGCTACCTTTGGCTTCTTGCAACCATGCACAGGTGCTCCACAGCGGCCATCTGTTGTCTGTCGCTGAACCTTTGACCCCCCAAAATACCCACCTCCTCCCAACCTCCCAACCACCCATCTTGCCACCCTCCATCTCCGCATGTGTGCAGATTTTAAATTAGATTTCTGTGTGCACTCCCAGCTTCCTTTCCCCTCCTTCATTTTCCTTCACTTTCTTTTGCTGCAAAGCCCGGTTATTGCGGATTCCATGTGGTCCTGATTCTGCAGGAGAATCCTGCTCACAGAGTATTCGAGGATAATCTCGTTTACTTGATGGTACTATTTTATCATGGAATTGGCTGAACCAAAATTGAGTTAGACGATGACCGGGATACTTAACCGAATTATTTTCTAAGGGCTTATTTATTTTTCCGCAAGTGTATATATTTTAGAGCCCGAGGGTTTTTTTTTATTATCTACAAATGTATTGGACAGACTAGCATTGTGAACTACTTTATCCCGAGAAGTACTCTATTAAAAAAAATAATTGTCATTGGAGACTTTTGTTTGGTCCTTTTAAAATAAAAGCGTTTAATAACGATCCCTGTTAAAAAACATTAATATTAGACTATTATTTTTACTGATTAATTGCTTTAGTTATTGGTAAACTCTTATTTAGGTAGGACTTGTGCTTAAGGGTTTTTATTAAAACAAATTTTATTTACCTATTATTTATAAAAGCTTGCCAGCTTTGTGCCGAAGAGTTTTACATAATGTTTCTATATGTTTTTGCGACTTTTAGGCTATTCTTATGACCTGCCCATTTCCCTGTTTGTCCTCATATCTATTCACCCATTCCCCCCATTAATTTTCCCAGCCCTTGGATTTTCCATCCAATCTGCCATCCATCAATCCGCCCATTCATCCATTCATCCATCCTGACCTGTGATCTCTGCTGGTTCAATGACCTCGGCAGACGCAATCCTTTTTGCTCCACCATCCTTCATGGTCCCGCACCTGGGACGAGGGTCCGAGGCTGGGATTACATTTATTATTTATTTACGGGCACTTGGCCTCCAGATGGCCAGGAAGCAGTGCTCCGGAGGACCAGCATCTGGCTCCGACCTAGGCGCACTAATTGAATCACAATAGGAGGTGTGGTGGATGAGGTTCCCATGTCAGAGGGTCGTGTCTCTATGGCTCCGCAGTGCCTCCTGCTCCTTCTCCTGTTCCTCCTCCACCTCCTCCTCCTGCTGCTCCTCATCCTGCTTCCCTTTCCTGCCGGAAAATGCGTCAAGTGCAATTTAATTTAAATCGTGCGTAGCCAAGGGCATCAACAGCAGAAAGCAGGAGAAACAAGGATATCGTTGGGTTGGAGGTGCCACAGATCCCTGTCCCCGGGGCCACTCGAGGCAGTCATTTCATATCCCGTTGTTTATGGCCACACACACATGTCCTTAAGGTCGGATCATGCAACACAGGAGCGACAGGACCTGGCTGATGGGCCACGTGGGAGTCAAAGGTCAGTGTGCAAAGTGCCTGCGAATCGGAGGCCCAAACGCAGACGAATATGCCAACGGATGCGGACACAGATATTGACAGGCGGGCAATAAAAACGACAACGGCGACAACAGCAACACCAGCAACATCAACAACATCAACAACAGCAGCAGCATAAACAGCAGCAACAATCAACCCAAAAGGCTGCGTGAACATTTCTTATTTACACAACACCCTTGCAGATGAGAATGCTATATGCACTGCTATATATGGTTAAAATATCGAATATGAAAACCTCTTTGTGAGTTCAGAATCCGGTTACAAACGCAGCTTAAAGATACCATATGAAAAACACTTAAATACACAGTTAAAAACAAATTATAATTTGGGTAATATTTATTTTAATCGTACAAAGAAATACTCTTTTTCCTCTATAATAGTGACTAAACTTAAAAATTATTTTTATATTTTTTTAAAGTTAAAATGTGAATTATTTGGAATCTTGCAGGTTAATTTTTGATGTTTCTTCATTCGAGTGCTACTGCTTGGGCCCGAAAAGTTGTCAAATTCGATGGCGAGGAGCCAGTGTGCCCCAGTTTTGAGCTGATGTCATCCAGAATCCCATTACAGAGCCCGTGCCTTTGATCCGCTGCCGCAATCAGGCTGCTGATTCTTTGCCAGAGAAACTTCTTCATGTCCTTTGGCTCTCGTCTTCCTTCCTCTTCCCTCCACTTTTTTATGTTTTCTTGTGTGTGTTTTTTTTTCGGAAAGAAAGGAGAAACTTGTGCTGCCGCACTTTTGTTACTTGTTACTGGGTTCTTGGCCAGTTTGCTTTTGGCCGGCAGCAAAGTTTGCACGCGGCCATTTAGCATCGCTGCTGGGGGAGTGGAATGCATGCCACGTCAGATGGCCCCGGCTCAAAGAGGACGTGCCACACAGCTTAAGCAGGCTGCCCCTTCGCTCGGGGTGGGCGGTGGACGTGCCCGGCGGCCTGGTGGGCGTGGCAGGCGAAGCGGCAGCGGTGGCATAATCATATAACTTGCAACAGCAAAAGCTGCAAGCAGAAGCGGCTTCATTATCGACAGCTGCAGCAGCTGCAGTGTCTAATTAGCGCTTGCAACGCGTCGTATGCGCAATGAATAATTGTCGGTTACCTAGCCGCTAGGCCACCCAACCACCCATTAACACCCACCCACCCATTACCACCTCACACCACTGCGACTGCAACTGGTCGGCAAAATAAGCCCAGAGTGAGGAGTTCGTAGGGCGTGGATACACACGGATCCGGATAGAGATTTTGGCCATGCACGTGACCTATTCGGAATCAACATGGACCGAAATCGAACGATTCCAACTGACCAGTCAGTCACGCGCCAAGGGCCGACACTTATTACATAATATCCAGGAGCATCGACCAGCAAATTGTCCATGGCTGGAGATGAACACCAAACCCTTTCCAGTCTCGCCCCAAAAAATTGTATTTTACAAAACATTTCGCAAAAAAATAATACAAATCTGTTGACCAACATGATTTTTTTTTGAAAAATTTATTTTAACGAGGATACAACTTTGTTGGAAATTTCGTAACGAATTCAACGAGGTATGACATTTTAACTTTTGACCACTATTTCTTGGGGTTTTCCAAAAAATAGTGGTCAAGTGTGGTCGAATGTTGTCATACCTCGTTGAATTCGTTACAAAATTTACAACAAAGTGGTATTTAATTTTGTTTATTACAATTTTAAATATTCCTATACATATGTTGAATATAGTGAATATAACATATTGAACTGTGTACATTATGATTGTCAGCTTACAATAAATACGATCGCATATTTAGAAGGCTAATTATTAAGTACATGCTGAACAGCTTTAAGACATAAACAACAAAACAATCGCCAAACTATGCAACTTAATTTGCACAGGTACTTCAGGATTCATTAGGGATTATTAATTAGAGATTTATTCGCCATAATCCACATCTGAGAGCTCCGTTCCGCACCTGGCATGCGGAGTCCTTGCAGCCCAGGAGTTGTCATGGCAACAATCCACACACTCACCCACCTAATTCCAGCGTAAGCACCGCACAAGTGGCGCATACCAACAATTGAATTTTCAGTTAACATCACTAATTAGTCTCAAGACACTTAGGGCTCAGGCAATGTGCGGATAATTACACTAAAAGAAAATATTTTTATGGTTAAATAACTTATTATTAGCCTCATATTTAATAAAAGTTGTTCAATATATTTTTTTTAAGTCTATCATATAACTTAGCAGGAAAACGCAAATTAATTTAAATGTTCAATAACGAATTTTGATAAAACAATATCAATATCTTCACATATTTTAGTTACAAAATAATTTATTGTTTTTTTAAGCTTGATATGTATAAGTTTTAAATATATAGCTTTCAGCGCTTCTATCAATTTGAAATGTTTACTAGTTAAACACTACGATTTCTTAAATGATGTGGACAGCAAAATAAGTTAGCTTATGAATAATGATATTAAAGTTCACAGTATAAATAAAATTTGGTATAGAAAAAAAAGCTAATATAAGCTTTTTACATGCCCATCGTTTGCCAATTTTTTTTCATAGAGCTATCAAGTTTTACACCTTTGATTGGGAAATGATAAACGCGTCAGTGTTTGCTGACTTGTATAAGATTTGATAAGGTTCCCCAGCAACAGCTGGACAGATTAGTGTCTAGAGGTGCAGCACGAAGGTCTGGACACTTTCGTGCGGCGGCGGTGGACGGATGACCTGCTGTCCACTGGCGTCCAGGTGATCGACGTACCGCAAAGTGTTGACGAGCTGATAGCCCAGGCGCTGCACCAGCCGGGCGGAGTAGACACTGGTGCAGTCGACGGAGACGAGCGGGTGGCCCAGTTCCCGGGCACGCTGGGCCACGGCGGTCATGAGGCGGGCGCCCAGACTACGACCCCGCACCACCGGATCGACGCCCAGCGCATGGACATGCAGGCTGCTGGGCACTCCGAATCGCCGGCAGACATCGGTGGCACTCTCCACGGCGGAGAGCAGGTGCAGAATGCGTCCCCACTTGCCGCCGGCATGCCTCCGCGCCTCCTCGGCCATGTGCTCCGGCTCGTGGGAGTCCTTGGGCCCCGCCACCACCGCGGCCACTATCCTGCCCCCCTGCAGCGCCATGAAGCAGGTGCCGAAGGGGACGTTGGACAGCAGGAACTCCTTGTCCGCCGCCTCCGGCTCCGGCGGACTGGTGCCCGCCGTGAGTGGCTCCTCGGGGTAGTAGTGGGCCAGCAGGAAGACCATCAGCTCCTCCGATTCCCCGGCGCACACCTGCCGCACCTCGATATCGTCCGGTTTCGGGTTTTCCATTTCGCGTCTTGTTTATTGTTGCGATCCCGAACACGTGGAGACTTCACTCCACCACAAGAAAATGAAACTGATCGTCAGCGGGGGCTTTTCTAATCAGATGGTGTGTGGATAGGATGGTGGATGCCAAGCTCCAGCTGGTGGATCGCCTAATGGTTGAGATAGGTCGGGGATATGTGGATGGTAAAGCGCTCTGTGGAACGGCGGCAGTGGCTAAATCATTTCTGTTTACCTTTTTATTATGTCGTTGGCTCTTAAATTAAACTAAGATTTTTTTAGACTTTTAATTAAATGCCAATTAAATCTTCCAAGTCATATCAAACATTTTTTTACCACAAAAAAGAAAATAAATTGTCTTTAAATTGAAGAACTAAGTGACCTATAAGAAAAATAAAAATTGATATTCATAAAAATTTATTTAATCATCAGGTAAACTTAGGACGTAATTAATATTTTATATTATTTAGTAAATTTCTTATCAAAAAGCTAGTTTTTTTTAGATGGATATATGAGATATACAATGTTTAGTTAATATTATTAACTTTTAAAAACGTTCAGACAAGCGCACTTATTTGCATAAATTAGTAATATTTCCCTAATTGAATTTCAATAAATGCTCACAAGGATGTTTACTGTCAACATACAATTATGAGCTCAATAGACAAAAGTGTGATTAAAGACAGACAGCTAAGTGCCTCTATTTTTCTAAGCGTATCGGGGATTAGTTTCATATTTTGGGGTCCCAATATTTGTGTGTTTCTTTGTGCCCACACACAATGGACGCATTGTGTAAAGCATTAACGGGGCCATTGTGTTGATGATGTCCGGAGACTGCGACGTTTTGCATTGATTAACCAATCAACCCGGGGACCCAAACAGAACAGCCAATGCCCCGTGGGGATGGAACCCACCTCCCTCCTCCCTCCTCCCCCACGCTTCGGGACCACCCACCTGCCCAAGGACTACGCCACTCTAATCCCGTCGAGCAGGTCGCATTTCCATTCGGACTACGTGTGGCATTAAGTGGCGTCCAGTGGCGCTAATGGAGAGCATCGGAACCATTAGGAAAGGTATTAGGGCGGCTTAAGATCCTTGGATCCGAATCCGAATAGGACACAACATCTATGGCGGCACAACAACAGCGAGAGCAGCAAGGACACCGCACTCCTGGCTGAGCAAATAAATGTGTAGTGCCAGCGGGTGTGACACCACGAATGCCGAATGCCCTGCCCCGATTTGCATGGCCATCGATGGGGGGTTCGATTCCCGAACCATGGACACTCCTTCGTGGAAAGGGTAGTGGCAGTGCGGCCGGACAAGTGTAATCCTTAAACTACGGAAACTACACCAACGACATCGACAGGGACATCACATAGAGCTGCAAGTGGATGTGGAAGTGGAAGGGGAAGTGGGGCGGAAGTGGGCTTGGCCAGGGATTATGCCACTGAAACTTATGGAAGTGAAATCGAGCGCGTGAAGTTCAAGTGGCAGCCATTGTCCACCTCGGAAAACACACACAATTCTAATTGGAGTGCCGGGCGACGAACGGTGGGTGGTGGAATGGCGTGGGTGGCAAGGTCAGACACAGACGGAGAACTAACCGAAAATGTCCAAACAAATCAACTAAAAATAAAGAAATGCTGCACAATGAAAGCATTAAGCTGGAGAGTCCTTGTTCTGCCCCCCATCGCCATTTTTAGATGGCGACATGGGCTTGCAGTGGGGGTCGTACACAATGAGAAAATGGGAGTGATTATACAAATAAAGAAAAATTATTTTAAAAGTTTTTTAAATAAAAGGAAGAAGAACTAGGATTTTTTGACAAATATTCTTTTCATTTCATTTTTTGTAATTCTAAGACATAACTTAAAGTTACATAGCTTAAGTTTTGGCACGAACTTTAAAAGTTCGGAGTAGATTTAAGGTATTGACTTTATAAAACAAAAACAATCACTTTAAGTTTTTAAAATCTTTGTACAATGTTATAATTATCAAATTTTCTTGTTTTTTGAATATAAAGATTCGGAAACTTAATACACTTACATTTCTGGCAGTGCATTAGTTGGTTTTGGGCCTGGTGCGAGTTTTGGGCAAGTGTCCTTGAGCATTTTGTGCCAAATGCACAGGCGAAAGGGGGTGGGGGGCATGGGCGTGGGAGGCGAAAAAAAGGGGGAGGGGCCGCAGTAGAAGCAAAGCTTAGCACACACTTCATGCCCCAAGCGAGCCACAGTCACGTACATTTTATAAACTTCATTCGCTTCGCCCCATCTCGTGTTCGCTCGGCAGGGAGCCGAATTCGCCGCAGAGCTTTCGCCCTCGGCACTCGCCATTCGCCGTTCGCCGTGGCAGGACATTAAAAAGGACCTGTTTCGCCGTCGAGCCGTCAGAACAATTCGTGCCGCGCGCGCGTTCGGTTCGTTGTGATTTTGGGGCTCCTCAAAAAGGCTCTCTCTCTCTCTATTTTTCTCTCTCTGTATTTCACATCCTGCGAGCACAGTTGTCTGCGTGTGTGTGTGCGTGTGCGTGTGAGAGTCCTTGTGGTAGTGAAAGTAAACAAGTCGCCGCGGTGCCGGCAAAATGTTTTATTCCATGTTATTGTCGTTTGGACAGAGCAAAAATATTTTAAGTGGGGGGCAAGAAGAAAAGGGAGAGAGACAGGGGGTGGGGCGGGTAAGGAGGGAATGTGTGCTTAAAGGACCTCAATATAAAATCCTTTCACCAACTTCGTGCCGATGCGTTAATGAACAACCGTCAACGTAATTGTTCTTTTTTTTATAGTGAGCGCCAAAAATTGAGAACATCCAAAATAGTAAAAAGACCAAGACAAAAGTAAAGGTAGTTATCCTTATCAACTGAAAAACAAAAAGATCGAAAAATGCTGCGACCACGCTGTCTGCTGTCCTTTTTGGGACTTTGCCTGGTAATCGGCATCGGAATGCGATGCGATGCCAGAGCGGTAAGTAAATTTTAATTGAATATGATACATATCAACACTGCCACTCAATCTGCCAATGCTTCAAGGTGTATTAAAATAATAACATTCGGAAATAAAGATATAACTGTAAGCCTGTAAAATTGGTAATAAGTACTTATGGGTACATAGAAAGATTCTCTTAAAATCTAACTTAATTCTAAAGTTTTCAGAGATTCCAAATATATAAAAAAGTGGCAATGAAATCCACAACTTACATATTTAATATTTAAGAGAATGGGAATTATATGTATTTGTAATTATCCAAAAGATTTTATCAGTAATATTTAACCAATGAACACAATTTTAGCTAAAGTACTTTAGGTAATAGTAATTTCTGAAAAGTGATTTACAAATGTATTTGTTCTGTTAATTGCATTTCATCTCAAACTTGTCCTCTGTTATTTTCTACAATTTAGCTTAGGCTCAATCATTTTCTTCGCAAATGTAAACTTAAGTGTCTCGAGGCCATGCAATTTAAATCTAAAGTTGTTTTACAATTCCAAAACAATCATTTGCTACTCACACAAGTTATTTTGGAAAATGCCCGCAGCAATAGACTTAATGCTTATCAAATTATTCCACAACTTCTGTAAGTGATACCTGGCACCCCAAAATAGCTGAAATAAATTCATAAATGGCAATAAATTGCCGAATAATTACAGGGCAATCGATGCCATAAATGTCAGTAGCTATTTTTAATGTCTCTTTTCAAAACTTTTCATTCAGATCTCAAGCTGCTAAATTCATGAGACGAAACCCCCAAAATTTACCGCTCCAATTGAGGTCAGCTCAGAAATTTCCAGACTAAATTGCGGTTAGTTGGAAATCGAAAATCATTTGAACAAAACGAAAACCTCCGGAAAAGTCTCGAGCTCGGGAAGGGGGGGTGGGGGAAGGACTAAAATAATTTAGGGTCTGTTTTAAGGAAAGGGATTTCCGGGAGGGGGAAATGCAGAGTTGTCTGACCATCGCTTGGCCCAAAATTTATATGCGCAAAAGTTACGATTTTGCTGCTCGAGAGTAAATCAAAAATGTGAAACTCTTTGGTTAGCCAGCAAAAACTTTTCTTTTATTTCTGTGTGTTGCTGTTGTCGTTGATGTTGCTGCTGCTTCTGCTGCTGTTGTTGCTGTTGCTGCTACACTTGATGTTGCTGTTGTCGCCGTCTCCTCAGCAGTTGATTTTGGCAGCATTCTTGTTTTGCTCTCGAGCTCAGTTTATCCTTTCGACCCCATCTTGTTCCCCTTTCCCACCATCTTGTCTTGCACACAGAAATAAAAATGGTTATTATTTTGGTGCTAAAAAATAGTTTTCTGTACACACGTTATATTATTTGAAGCTTTTTGAATGTTTATGTAGGACATTAAGAAGTATATTTCGAATATGATTTACACATATTAGGCTTGAGAAAATTTTCTTTCCTAAATAAATAAATACATTTTTTAAACTACTTAAATTCCATTTCTGTTTTGTAATAATATATCAATAGATTTTTTTCGAAATATAAACCTGTAATTGATTTTGAAAACTTAATCATTTTTTTTCTGTGCAATTTTCTTTTTTCTTTTCGGGCTGTTTGTCCTGTTTCGAACTGTCCACCCGCCCGTAAGCGCTGCGAAATGAATAATTTCAGGGAATTTACTACACAATTTTATTCATATAAATCACAAATTAAATAAGTTTTTACGAGGTTGTTCAGCGGTTGCAACCCACTACAAAACTTGTTTGTGTTCTCATTCTCGACGTTTGTTTGTTTGTTTGTTTGCTGGTACTGGCCTGGTCTGGTCTGGTCTGGTCCGGGCTATTTGGCCCTTTCCACTTGGCCAGCAAAGACGGATGGTGATGGAGGGGTTTGGGCTTGGTGTTTGGAGTTTGGGGTTGAGGTTGGGGCTCCGGCTGGCAGCCCCACGCTCGCTCACTCGCTTTTATGCCATTTGCCCTTTTTTATGGCTGTGTAATTTTTTTGTTGGCCTTTTTATTTATGCTTATTATCGTGATTGCTATTGCTAGGTCGGGAAAACACCAACTGAAATACCCACAGCAAAAGCAACCGCAGCTATGGCGGCGCCAACTTCCATAAGAAAGAAAGTTTAGCCTCGCATACCCTTGCAGACCGACCATATAAAAGAGTAATCCGATTTGGAGACAACTTTGAGGGATTAACATTGATAGTACTCGCATTAAGAAACATTTTAAAAACAACAAAAATCTCTAGTGATTCAGAGTCACTTTAGAAGGGTGTAAATGAAAATATGTATTGCATACTCTTTTCATTGCTGCACGTACGTATTCAAAGCCTTTAGTGCAGTTAAAAAAATTATATGACCCTGTCTTATAAGAGCATTTTATCCAACAAAGGATTCTTGGCTCAATTAAAGTTCTTTGTGGAGTAATTTGAGGGCAAAAACCAGGTGGAAAGGCCATGGCAACACTCGAATTTACATTTCACATTTACTCTGAGGAACTAATAATGTTGGCAGATGAACACATTCTGCGATTATCTCCGCTTACTGCGTTAAGCTGCTCAAAGGCAAAGGGGAATTTTTAACGAGTCTGCCATGGGATTAAATCAAGTTTTGTGAAAATGAAAAATAAAAAAATTAATTAGTAGAAATGGGGTCGTTGGGAAGATGATTTGATCAGGCAAACAATACATATTGCACGGCATATTAAATGACAGCAATCTCATAGCCAAAATTGGGCTGCGGCAAATCCAGTTTGGCAGCTCACTTGGGCCGAAGCCCGGATTTGCGATATATCCGAATATTCCCTCAATCATTTATCACTTCTAGAGTAACAGACACGAATTGCTCTTGCTTTGGTTTCCCCCATCTTGTTGGCCCTTTTTTTTGTGAGCACGTCTTGGCACCGGGGCATTCGATGGGATGGGAGGGTGAAAAGTGGGGAAATCCCTGGGCCTGGGCCTTAATTTACATACGAAGGCTTGAGGAAGCCTCATGCAGATGCATTAATAATGTAACATTAGCCGGCGGAGGAAAAGCTCAGGGGCAGGAAGATAAACAATGCGGAACGCCTTAAACGTTAGCCAGGATGACATGAGATGAGCCAAAATTCGTTCTCAGTACACTGGAGGAAATACAGTCAAATCAATATAAATCTAACAAGTTACCAATAATATATTCATATATTCAGATTGGTGCCTTAAATAAAAGAGATTCTTGAGCCACTTAAGCAGTGAATAAACAAACAAATTAAAATGAAATTAAAACGAAATTTAGGTTTTCTTAGTTTGTCGGTTTTACCAATAGCTTAAACTAGTTTTATTTGAGAAACAAAAATAAGTTTAAAGCAAAATATTTTACAGAAAATTTAAGATAGGATTTAAATAAATAAAAAATTAAGATAAAATGAGAGACAATTTAAAGAAAAGCCTCTAGAAAAACGAATTCAAATCTTTTATTTTATTAAAAGATTGATTGGGCTGAAGCTTTACCATTTCAATTGAAAATATTTAGGCAGTTAGCTAGTTTTTTTTTCCAGTGCGCGTTAGCCATTTGACAACATTCTAGGCCGATTCCATTCCGTTTCATTCCGCTCTTATTCATGGCATTCACGTGCGCCCGACACGAGATTCACGAGACGTGAAAGCAATTTACGATGTGGCCGCCGCAACAATGAGCAATTAATCATGCCACGGCCACAAAGTGGAGCCTGGAGTTGTCCCCCGCTCCAGTTTCACTTTCTCCCGTTTATCCGCATCCGCAGCACCGCCACCCAGAGCACCACCCACCCAAGGACGCCACTGGCAACCGGCGAAGGCCGCCAGCAGACACAGAAGGAAGCGCCAAAGCGAGACGGCAAAAAAGAAGGGAAATTCAGGCAAAAAATCCACGACCTTGAGCTGCATTTACCTAACACCCACTCACCCATCCACCGACAATCCGGCCGTTTTGGCGCCCAACTATTTCGCACATCAAATCATAATTTATGGACGGCAATCAAAATGAGCCTGGCTCCATTTCTTTTTTTATTTTTTACTTTTCGGTTATTTTTGATGATGGTTTTTGGTTTGGTGCGAAAAAGTTGCGCAGTCGCCCACATAATTATCGGTTTGATTTATGGCAGCATTTTCGCAGCCAATTACTTCGCACCCGCAGAAAAAAAAAGAAACAAGGGGGGAAGGGGGTTCTGAGGAAATGGAAAAGCGGAAAATGCGAGAGCGGAACCGGAAGCGGATATCGCATTGGAATGCGGTAAAAATGAACCGCTGAGTGACCGCACAGCGGGTCAACGAACACCCTTGCATGTCCAACCTTGGCCACTTTTCCCATTCAAAACCTTGGAAATATTCCAGCAAAAACCTCGTCGATTGCAATCTCACATTGGCCAGCCTTGAAGTCAATCAAAAAATGCGGCGAAAGTCATAATTTGATGAGTTGCACGTGGATCATTGAAGGACTATACAAAAACTGAAAGTTATTGTGTCAAAATTCTATTTAGAAATGCTTAGAATCTTAGAAACTTCAAATCGCAAGGCTTTTTCTCTTCACAACTTTAAACATTTTCAAGAAAAGAATATTCCATTTAGTAATTGTCTTCAAACACCCATTCTTTTGCCTAAGACTGTATACATTCAGTTGGACTGCCTTTTACTTACTGCACTTTAAGACCACAATCCAGAGAAATGAAATGGATACACTATGCCTTGTACAAAATCCAGCAGCACATTAACAAAGTCGGCGCCCAGCGGACAAACAGAATGACAGATAGACAGTCGGATAAACAGATGGACCATCAAATAGTTGACATACACGTATTTATATTCCCCGAGCAAGGACAATGGGGACTGGCAACCAGGTCAACTGGGGCCTAGGGGGGGGGGGGGGGTATTTGGGGTAAAACAACGAAGGCAGCTGCCGACCCAAAAAATTTCACTGAAGCTGAGGGCTTAAGTGGGAAATTCTGGTTAAACTTGATTGCCATGAAAATCCCGGAGTGAGTGAGAATATGAGTGAGCACTCTG